GGGTGTATGTGGGTGTGGGTGTATGTGGGTGTGGGTGTGTGTGGGTGTGGTATGTGGGTGGGTGGGTGTAGTGTGGGTGGGTGTATGTCGGTGTGGGTGTGTTTGTGGATGTGTGTGAGTCGGTGTGGGAACATGGGTGAGGGATGGGGGCTGTGTTTGGCTGTCAGGGGTGAGTCTGTGAATGTGTGTCTGTGTTGGGGGGTGGGTTGCATATATAACTGTTGGTGGGGGGGCCTTGCCTCACTTTACTTTGCTCTCCCTGGGGTGGGATGCACAGGTGTGGGCTGTACGTGCCCAGCCTCCCTTCCTGGAAGCCCTGGCTCGTGGTGGGCGGTGCCTGGTTCTGATTCCCACGCCCCAAACCATTTCCCTGGGCTCGTGGCCTTGCCCAGAGTCTACACTGATGTTCTGACTTTTTCCAGGAAAGATGAAGCGTGTGAACAGTAGCTGGGGTCACCTCGTGGTCACCCTGTGGCCCAGCTGCCCCGGCTCTGACGCTTTGCGCCATCCACTTCTTTTGTTAATTAGGGGAAGGTGGGCAAGACGGAGGGCCTGTGCTTTCCTGGCAAGATGTGGCTGGAGACACATTGTCACAGCGGGCCCTCTCCCTCCCTCTGGGGTCCTGGTCGCCCTCCCTGTCCCCAGCCTGCAGCCCAGGCGGAGCCAGGTGGCCAGTGACCTGCCCGAAAGCAGCAGGCCCCAAGCACCGACCTCGGGATTTGGGTCATGTCCCGGGCCAGCGCCTGGCTTGTGTGATAACAGGCACAGGCAGGCCTTCACCCCTCCCTGCGGACCGGCCCAGATCTTCCCACGCCCTGCGGGGTGGGGCAGGGCCTCACAGAGCTTCTAGAGGCAAGAGTCTGTGGGAGGTGGATGGGGGTGGGGAAGGGGCCTCTGGGCCGTTAGCCCTGGCACCTGGCGCCTGCCCGCGGGACTGGCCATCCTCACGTGACCCGGCTATCTCTTTGTTGTAGCACAGGCTGAACAGGATGGTGTCGACCAGGGCCGGGCCTGGTGCTTGGGAACAGAGCCTTTGCCACTACCAAGGCGAGGGTGGGCTCGGGAAGCCGCAGGCAGCGCACCTGTCTCTGGCTACCCTCCATTTCCAAAGCCTAATGTGTTCCTTGATTTTCAGGGAGGAGCTGTGCTCAGGCCTGTGCCGGACGCAGAGCTGGAGCTGTCCCCAGAAGAGCAGAGGGTCCTGGAAAGGAAGCTGAAAAAGGAACGGAGGAAAGAGGAGAGGCAGCGTCTGCGGGAGGCAGGCCTTGCAGCCCATCACCCGCCTGCCAGGCGCTCGGGAGCTGAGCTGGCCCTGGACTACCTCTGCGCGTAAGCGGCCCTGCCCCACATAGTTTTGTCCCAGGCATGTGTCTCCACCCTTGCCCGAGGGGGTCGCAGCCTTCACCCGCACACACTGTGTGGAAGGTTCTAGAGTAGTGGGGCATTAGCATTCATGCCAGACCTGTGCTGCCGCCACTGACTTTTCTGTCTGAATGGCTCAGAGCCTTCAGGAACTTTCAGGGGCGGCAGCAGAGCTGCCACCTGTGCAGGGGTTGCCCGAAACTGTGCTCTTAGAAATGAGTCCGATGGTGAACCTCGTCCCAGCCATGCTCACCGCAGGAAGAATCCAAGCCTGGGTGCTCCTTGGATGCGGGGGTGAGGAGGAGGGAACTCGGGGTGGCCTTCAGCCCTCACTCACAGTGACAGGAGGTGCCATTGCCTCCCGAGAGCGGGGAGACGGGGATCGTGAGGTGCCAGGCTCAGGACGCCATCTCCCTGGCTGCCTGCGACGTTGCTGGGTGGATGATGCAGGATTGCAGGGGTCAGAGGCTTTGGCGTGGGCTCCACAGCCTTGCGGGCCGTGGCCACCTCCCCGGTGCTCACCAGCACAGGCTGCTGCCCGTTTCTGTCCGCTCCGTCGGTCTCCCTGAGTGCTGGACTGCGCCTAGAGTAAGGAATGTCACAGCGTCTGTGTGGCTGGCTTTCTCAGAGACAAGAACTGGGTCTGGTCCCTGTGATGGGGTCACCCTGAGGGGCAGGGGGTCCTGTGGGGGGTGCTGGCTCTGCCCAGGAGGACCGACTCCAGCCGCACCTCTGTGGGAGCCCCTCAGAGAGACGACGCCCGGTGCACCTGTGCAGCTGGCAGAATGAACAGCGGGGCTTGCATGGATGTGCACACTGCATGCACACATGTGTGTTGTGTATACTGCGTGTGTGCACTTGTGTGTGCATGTGTATACGTGTGTTGTATATACGTGCATGTGCACATGTGTATATGTGTGCGCATGTGTATACGTGTGTGCGCGCATGTATATGTATTGTGAATACGTGTGTGCATGTGTACGTGTGTGCATGTGTTGTGTATACGTGTGTGCGTGTGTGTACACATGTGTATATGTATGCACGCATGCGCATGTATGTGTTGTGTATATGTGTGTACGTGTGTTGTTATACGTGTGTGCGCATGTGCTTATGTGTGTTGTGTGTGTGCATGCGCTTATACGTGTATTGTGCATATGTGTGCGAGCGTGTGTATACGTGTGTGCATGTATATACGTGTTATGTATACATGTGTGCATATGTACGTGTGTGCATATATACGTGTGTGCATGTGTGTATATGCATGTGTGCGCGCATGTGTATACGTGTGTTGTATAACCATGTGTGCATGTGTGTTTATATGTGTGTGTGTGTGTGGACGTGTGTGTTGTGTGTGCATCCCCAGGACGGCCTTCCACCTGCAGGAGAGGGGCTCTTGGCCACCCTGCACCAGGCTCAGCGCTGGGCTCAGGAAATGGGGAAGGGGGGTGAGCCTCCTGCTTCTCAAAGCTTAGGCTGCCTTGGAGGGTTGCAGAAGGAGCTCAGCCATAGCGTTGGGTGAATCCGGCTGGAACCAGTTGAGTCATCATGGGTCTCTGCACCAGTCAGTTCTCTGGAGCCTTAGCTTCCCCCTCCCTGGGGAACGTGGGGCTGAGGCCAGGTGCCTAGGGCTACCCCAAGAGCTCTTTCCTGCTCCGAGAATGTGCGTGGCCCAGGGGATAGTGCTGGCTGTGGTGTGAGGCCGCTGCCTCCTGTACCCACTCTTGCTTCTCGGCAGGCAGGGCCACAGGCCACCTCAGGGTCAGTCGCTGTAGACAGGGGGCTTTGGAGGCCGTTGGTACAGCGCCTTGAGCCCAGGTGTGGGTGGGGTGTGGGCTGGACAGAGGAGTGGCTGGACACAGGCCTGGAAGGCGCCAGCCACAGGAATGGACCGTGGGCTCCCTGTGGGAGGCAGAGGGCGACTGGGGCCTGCGGCTGTGCCACCTGCGCCCTTCCTGTTTCCACCAGCAGGTGACTCTGTTCTGGACCTGCCCTGACGCCTGGGGCGAGCGGGGAGCAGAGGTGGGCGGGGTTTGTCCTCCTTCCTCCCCGCGTCTGTCGGCGCCTTCGGCTGCTCTCAGTGTGGGCTCTGTTAGCACGAGGGGGACGTTGGGGACGTGGGCAGGAGGGGGGACCAGCCGCTCCACAGCATGGTTGCCACTCCCTGGTCTTCACCCTGGGGGTGCCCTGGCTCCCCTTCCATGATCGCACACCCTCCGAGCTCCCCACAGGAACGTCCTGGGTGCCTGGGAACCCGCCCTGCTCCCATCCTCAGCCTCACCCTCCTCTCACCCTCTGGGACCTTCCCGTGGTCCCCTCGTGCTACTCGCAACCCTGAAGCAGCAAGTCCTGTGCGGAGGCGCTGTGTCCTGGATGTGGGAGGAGGGGGGACCCTTACTCCCGAAAAACAAAGCAGCCCCTTCCCAGGCGCGCCACACACCAGGGGGCCAGCCACAGACACGGGCACCCAGGCAGGAGCTTGTCCTCTTTCCTGGGGGTCTCCAAGGGCGCCCGCAAGCCCAGCCGCATCTGCTGCCAGATCACAGCCCACGTGGATGTGTGGGGCCCACGGTATCCCTGGCAACTCAGGGTTTTCCAAAGAGAGGAAGCCAAGGGATTCCCACAAGGGAATGCCCTTAGCCTGGAGGCTGCTGGGGACCATCAGCCACACCACGGCTGGCCCACCACAGAGCCCCCAGCACAGGGGCAGAGGTGAAGGTAGATGCCCCTGAGTTGTCCTCCCCCTGCAGAGGCCCTGGGCTGGCACTCAGGAAGGACGTGCTGGCCGCCGTGGCCCGTGGCCATCTTATGGGCTTTCTTATGGGCTTTCCACGAGGGGTTCCTCCTGGAAGCAAAGCCATCTGCGGCCAGGTGGGCTCTGTGCGGAGGACACCCCGAATTGTTCTGGTGAGCTCTCGTGGTGGAGCGTTTCCTCTCATCTCTCTGGGGGTGCCCCACCCATTCCAGGATGCCTTGGGGGTCTCCCCTCCAGATCCCCCGAAGGCTCTGTCCCCCCAGACACGTGGACCCAGCACCCGTGGGGTCTTCCATGTCCCATCCCTAGAACCCAGGTCGCAGGCTGGGCAGCGTCTGCACACAGTGACCTTGGCCTGTGACCGGTGGCCATACCCTGGGCTGTTCTTGGCATCTCAAGGGTTCAGTTCCTCTGCAGCCTTCCTGGGGTACTACTGGCTTTGTGTGGAGCTGGGACTGGTGGGAGCTGCGCAGCAGGGCTAGGGTGGGGGATTGTGGCCGTTGTGTGCTATTTCCCTGGGCTGTGACTGTCCCCTCATTTCCCTAGCAGGGGCCCTGGACTTGGTCGCCCAGCTCGGAGCCATGTTGCTCTGGCCTTGCATGGTTGGAAGCGGGGGAGTGCTGGGGTCAGTCCCTCTGCTTTCCGTGGGCCTCTGGGCTGCGGGGTCCACTGTGGTAGTTACATGGCTGTCAGCAGGAAGCCTGCTCCTTCTTAAAGAGAAAGAAGAGTTTATATGTTTAACACGGAAAGTTGAAGGTTTATTTTCCATATGGCTGAAAGAAGTAAACCAGCATGCCTCAGGGCCTCAGCCACGACTCCACGACTGCTGGGTGTTCACATTGGGGGCGGGTGGCGAGGTGACAGCTGCCTCCCAGGTCCCTGCAGGCTTGAGCTCGCTGTTCTCAGGGGCCAACCCCCTGTCTGGGTCTGCTCGAGGCAGGAAGTGGTGCCCCCACAGGAGAGAGAGGAGCTGGGACCCGGGCCGCACGGATCCAGCCGGAACAGGGTCCCCCACTCACCTGCGGAGGGATGAGAGCAAGTCACTCCGGCCGTGGGGCAGCCCAAGCCCACCTTCCTCAGGCCCCCCACGGAGCCCAGCACAGCATGGCATTTTAGCCTCCTTGCAGCCTGTGGCCTCTGGGCCTGGAACCCTGGAATGAAAGGCCAGAGTAGAGGCCAAACGATCCCATCAGTGGGGCTTAGGAGATACTTCTTGGGGTCCTTCCCTACCCAGGCCCACTGCCTTGCTGCTGAGGGACAGCCCAGCTCCAGTATCGGAGGAGCAGCCAACCCATGAGACCCGGCCCCTGCCTGTGCCAGCCCCGCTCAGGCCTTTGTGGTGTTTGGGTTGTCAACTCGCCCCGGTCGGCAGTTCCTGCTGCCGTTACGAGCACGTGGACGCTGTGGCTGTGGGCCGGCTTCAAATGCTGTCTCAGCAGAGAACCTCTCTGTTTTCTTTTGGAAGGGGGTTCAGCAAGAAGCCCCCGCTTTTTGTGGGGGTTTTTTTGTTTGTTTTGAGATGGAGTCTCGCTCTGTCACCAGGCTGGAGTGCAATGGTGCAATCTCAGCTCACTGCAACCTCCGCCTCCCAGGTTCAAGCGATTCTCCTGCCTCAGCCTCCCGAGTAGCTGGGATTACAGGCGTGTGCCACCCACACCTGGCTAATTTTTTGTATTTTTAGTAGAGACAGGGTTTCAGCATATTAACCAAGATGGTCTCAGTCTCCTGACATCATGATCCGCCCGCCTCAGCCTCCCAAAGTACTCAGCTTACAGGCGTGGGCCACTGCGCCTGGCTGCCCCCGCTTTTTGTTTTTTAAGCCCAGTGGGCTAACAGGGACTCTGGTTCTCCACCCAGCTGGTGAGTACCACAGGGGAGGAGGCCCTTCTCTCTGGGCTGCTGTAGACAGATGACCCTGCAGTGGCTGTGGCCCCTGCTGTGCTGGGGACAAGGGACTTCTCTCTGGCTGTTCTCTTTCCTTTTCCAAGATGGGGCTTCCTGTCTCCTGCCCCACCTAGGCAGAGAGAAAGAGGATTGTGTCCTGTGAACTGTGCAGCTGCACAGGGACCGGTCCCCAGGGTGAGTGGCAGAGGCGGCCATCACTCAGGAGGCCTCGCCCAGCGTTGTGGGACACTGAGCGACACTGAGCCTCTCTCCTGCCCTTCGCTGTGTCTGTTCCCCCAGTGACGAGGCCAAGAGCGGGACGGTTTATCTTCAGTGACCAGGGAGACGGGCTCCGCTTGAAGCCTGCCTGGGCTGGGTGAGAGAGAGGCACCCTTGGTTCAGGGCCATGGGCAGCAGTGCTGTGGCCTCGGGCCGCATGGAAGGGCAGTGTGCAGGGCAGCTGTGATTGACTCACCGTGCGTGGGCTCCGGTAACACCCGTGAAGTGGGGTCACTGCTCCAGGTTCCCAAGGAGGAAATAGGCTGGTGGAAGCAGCAGCTCAAGGTGGGGGAGTTAGAAGGTGGCAGAGCTGAGACGCCAACTCCTGCCCTGCAGCCGGGAAGCAGCCCCCAGCAGGCAGACGCCATGGCCTGGCTGGCCCGGGTGCACCTCACAGGGGCCCATGCTGGCCGGATTGGACATCCGGGGATCAGACCACGTGGGGCTGTCTAAAAGGAAAGGAACTAAAGTTAAACCTCCCTGGAGGCTCCTCTCATCACGCAGGAACCCTGTGTCAGTGCACATGGGGCTGGTGTGTCACCTAGCAGGTACACAGCTGGTTCTTCACCCACAGGACTCCATACCCGCAGGAATCCCCACCTGCAGGATTCCCCACCACAGGACTCCCCTCCCATAGGACTCCACCCACCCACAGGACTCCACCCACCCACAGGACTCCACCCACCCACAGGACTCCCCACCCCCAGGACTCCTCTCACCCACAGGACTCCCAACCCACAGGGTTCCCCTCACCCACAGGACGCCCCACACCCACCCACAGGACTCCCCACCCCCAGGACTCCTCTCACCCACAGGACTCCCAACCCACAGGGTTCCCCTCACCCACAGGACGCCCCACCCACAGGACTCCACCCACCCACAGGACTCCCCACCCCCAGGACTCCTCTCACCCACAGGACTCCCAACCCACAGGGTTCCCCTCACCCACAGGACGCCCCACTCACAGGACTCCACCCACCCACGGGACTCCCCACCCACAGAACCCCACTCACCCACATGGCAGTGAGGACAGGCGGGCTGGGCAGTGCTCACAACAGGCTCAGGGCCCTCGCCTGTGCTGAGCCTGCAGTCTTCAGACCTCGGCCTGCACATTGATGGAGGCATCTGGGCTTGGCTGCCCTGCCTGACCCTGGAAACACGTGTCTGGGAGGAGGTCTCTGGACTAAACCCTGCCTGGCCCTGCCCTAGCCACAGCGCCGGCTTCGCTCCGTCCGGCAGCTGCCTGATGTCCACAGGCCCCAGTGCAGGAGCAAGGTGGGGGCAGGGCGGTTGTGGCCCCAGGGAGCCGCCCCTCTGGCAGCCGGGAGCTGCTCATCCCCAGGCCCACTGCCCCCTTGTGAGGGCCTGGACTCAGGAGTGTTCCTCACCGTCTTCCCATTTTCATACGGAAAGTACATCGTCAATTAAGGTGCTCCCTTTCCTCCCAGAGAAATTCGTTTCATCCTCCCTCCCCTGTAAAATCCGTGTGACCCATGGGGCGGGGGAGCCCCTGGGGACTTGGGGGGAGTCGTGAGCCGTGGGGTGGCCACGGTAAGAGTGGCGTCCACGAGCTTCCTGGGCAGGCGGCAGCAGGGCCTAGGGTTGTGGCTCCTCACCTTGGGCAGGGGAGGGGCTCCAAAAACCCCCTTCACCCGGGGCCTTGGTGTTTAGCGCCTGGTGGGGCTCTGTCTCCTGAGATGAGGCGTCCCAGATCTGTCAGGGCAGACAGGCACCCAGGAGTCTTCTGCCCAGCACCCTGAGATGTTTGTCTTCCTTTCCCTAGATGGTCCCAAAAGCACAAGAACTGGAGGTTTCAGAAGACAAGGCAGACGTGGCTCCTGCTCCACATGTATGACAGAGACAAGGTGTGTGCACGGCAGGGCGGGCGCGTCTCCCGGGGGCTGAGGTCTGTGCACACTGGGGCCCTGACAGTGGAAGCCACAGTCTGAAAGGGCCACCCTCAGGGCCCGCTGCAGGGAAGGTCTCCTGGTGCCCTTGTTCTAAGAGAGCTGCGTTGCCTCCTCCAGGAGCCCCATCGCCGGCCTTCAGGACAGAAACCAACACAGGACGACCTTAGGGAGGCCACCTGCCCTTGTGCATGTGTGCCCGTGATGTGTGTCTACACATGAGTGTGTACATGTGATGTGTCTATACATGTGTGTGACGTGCGTCTACACATGCGTGTGTACGTGTGACGTGAGTCTACACGTGTGTGATGTGTCTGCACATGGATGTGTACGTGTGGCGTGAGTCTGCATGTTTGTGGTGTGTGTCTGCACATGTGTATGTGTGACACGTCTGCATGTGCGTGTGGATGTGTGTCTGCACATGCATGTGTACGTGTGACGTGAGTCTGCACGTGTGTAATGTGTCTGCACGTGTGTGTATGTGTGACACATGTCTGCACATGCGTGTGTGCATGTGACGCATGTCTGCACATGCAAGTGTGGGCAGCTGTCCTTTTCAGGGGCAGGATGTGAGATGGGGTTTCACAGAATGAAACGAGACAGATTCTGAACTAAACCCAGCTGCTGGGAGGTGGGCTGGAGCTGCCCGTGTCCTTTGAGGCTGGCGGAGCCCACGGTTCTGCCTTGCCAGCTCTCCTGCGTCCATGTTACTAGAGACCAGGCTTTGCGTGCTCTGTGCATGTGAGCTGAGGGCAGGGCGCGGTTTTCTCTTGCCATGCCTGTGTTTGCAGACTCTCAGAGCGGGGCAGGCCCACTGGCCCCACTCACAGCCCTGGGACATTCCAGGCATAGCCTGCGGCCGCTTTCATTATTTTGTTGATGTTGGTTTTTTGTGGGTATTTTTGAGACAGGGTCCCGCCCAGGCTGGAGTGCAGTGACGTGATCACAGTTCACTGCAGCCTCAACCTCCTGGGCTCAAGCCATTCTCTCTCCTCAAAGTCAGAGGACATGTGCATCCCGATTGTAAACCCTACTGCATGCTCCTGTCATCATGACACTGGGGTGGGCACAAAGCTGGAAGTAGAAGTGACTGGAACAGCCTGGGGAGCCTGGAAACCCTCAGGCCCAGGGCAGCTGATTCCAGCACGTGGGCCAAGCCCATTCCACGTGGAGGAAACTTCTCAACAGAGCCCAGGACAACTGGGTTTCCACGTTTGGCTTTGTTTTTTTTAACCGAAGTTTACATGGTTTTATTTATATGTTACTATTACCAAAAGTAAACTTTATACAAAAATTTTTATACAGAAAAATAATCCTTGGTTAGGCAAAGCCATTTATATGTGTGTATACACACACACACACACAAAGTATCTTACACTGTCATAAACATATTTTATAAACACACAAATGTGCATTTTACTTATCCGTTTTTATTCCACATGTATTGTAACCGTACATATTTACAAATATGCTAATACTTAATGCATGCGGCCCCCAGCGTCACACCATATGCAAAAATTAACTCAAAATGGATGAAAGACTTAAATTTAAGAGCTAAAACCAAAACTGTTACATGAAAACCTAAGAGTCCATTT